GCTGCTCAGGGCTGGAGCTTGCTGCTGGACAGGGAGTGTCAGAGATGGATCACAGGGGATCAGAGTGGATCCTGAAGCTTATTGACTGCAGTGTGACTTGAACTGTAAAGGAAGGGATTTGGCATTCAGCTTGCTTAGTGCTGTGCCAGAACCCTCATTAGTTGAAGTGCTGGTACAAAGAAGCCTTTGTGGAGCCCTGGGTGCCTCCTGGACCCCAGCGAAGGTCTGGGAGCTGCAGTCTACGTTTTCCAACCCTGGCACTTCCCAGGCAGAACCCAGAGACAGAAAGTGCAACTGTCCTGATGTTTTGATGCCAAAAGATGTTAAATCTGGAGGTTGGGGGGGGAGGCTCCTTTGCAGCTTGCTTGCAGAAGGAGTGCAAAGCTGGGATTTTCCGTGCACACGGTCCCTGCAGCTTTGGGAATGCAGCTTTCTGATGCGGTTAAACCTCTGGCTTCCCTACTTGTTGCTACAGCACCCACATTGGAGCCCTGAGGAGCAGAGGGTACACTTTACCCTCTTCAAAATCATCTTAGAAGCTGTTTTTTTTTAGCTTTGGCTGAAGCTTGGTAGCAGCTTTTTGGGGTGCACAGACCTTCCTGGTGCTTGAGGCACTTTGGGTGTCTTTTCCTCAACTTTTGCGTGCTTGCACCAAAACTCCTCAGTGAAGAGGAACTCGGTGAGCTGCCCTGCTTCTTCTCAGCTCAACCACAGATCCTTTGGTGTGTTTGGTTCCTGCTCTTCGTTTGTGTCCAGCACTGTGTTGACAGAGTTGGTGCTGCAGCTGTTGAGCTCCAAGGACAGAAACGTGTTCAGCTGACTGTCCACAGAGCGAGGATTGCTGCTGCCATTTCCACATTGCTCAGCTCATCCATCGTGCGTCACCAACCCACGGAGCTGGGAATCCCGGAGTAAGAAATGCCCAGAAATCTCTGTATGGGGTTTGACATACAGCTCAATCCTCAGCCATCCAGCATGCCCACGGGGACAGCACCACCACCTCTCAGGGAGCCTTGTCCCCTTGCGTGGCTGCCGAGGGTCTCGCCGTGTGTAGGGAGGGAGTGGCTCCAGGGACAGCGCAGCGGCTGCGCCATGTGGCTCTGAGGAGTGGGAAACAGATCGGCTGCTTCTCGACGGTGCATTGTTAAAGGTTTCACCTCCCCCAAAATGACACATTGCGAGCAAAAATAGAACAAGACAGAACACATAGACCCACCCCCACCATCCCCACCACCCGGCAGCCAAGTGCACGCAGTGCCAAACCCTTGGGTTTAAAAGCTGGTGCTTTGTCACCCTCCCTTCCCTCAGTCCTGCCACCAGCTGCCCCAGGCAGTCTGGTGAGTGACCATCACACCAGGAGCAGCCATTCTGCTGGGACAATCACCACCCAACCCACGCTGTGGGCTGCACCTGACCTTTCTCTTCAGCTGCTGGGTCTGGGGATGGGAGCAGGAACTGTGATGTTGGTGCAGAGGTTCTCTCACCCTCTGCACAGAGTGCTCTTGAGACAACGTGACAGATGCCTTTGGCCAGGAGAGCCACCTCCAGCGTGGTGGCATGGCTTGGCCCAGCCTGCTGTGAGCCAGAGCTGTCTCCTGTGAATGGTGAGGGAAGCTGCCTCCCAGCCAAGGAGCAGGGTCCAATTCTGGAGTGCCACTGGTGTGTGCTAAGCACAGTTGGACCAGGCAGAGATCTGGTTGGAAAACGTCCAGGAAAGGAAGAGTTGCTCCAGGAGGTGGTAGAGCTGTCAGCCATTTGTCAGCAGTGCCTAACAAGGCTGCGGCCTGCCTTCACCACCCTGGATCCTCCATGGCTCCAGAGCTGGCAGTTACACTGGCAGTGAAATTATCCAGGCTTCGTGAGTCCTCCAGTGATCCTGTTCAGGGGTACAAAGCCCATTGCATGGAATTTTGACATTGGAAACAGAGCTGAAGCAGAGGTTGGTGGTGTCTTGGCAAACATCTGGAGGGATTTGGACTGTTTGTTGGGGAGGAGAGGAGTGGAGAAGTGATGACACTGGAACTCACATCCCCAGGATGAGCAGCCATGGCTGGAGGGAGGTTTGGGCACAAGGGGGAACTTCTCCCCCTAAAGCTGGATGAGGGGCTGCAGGGCCGAGGCAGTGGGGCTGAGCTTGTCCAGTGAGCTGCACGTGGTGGCAGAGGTGGCAGTGACACGTCCCTCCTTCAACTGGCTGTGCTCCAGTTTTGGCACAGTAGCAGCTCTGGAGAAGGACAGACACTTGGGCTGGGAGTAAGGCTGCTGTCACCTGTGCAGTCCCTGTGCTGTGCAGAGAGACATTGGGCAAAGTCCCTGCAGAGCAAGGCCTGCCTCAGTTTCCCTGTTGCACAGCTAACACTGGCTGTGGGGCTGGTGAGTCCACTCGTGCCCTCACAGGCAGTGAGATTGTGTTTGGTAATCTCTGAGTGGGGCTAAAACATCCAGAACTGCCTGGATGGGATCTGCCCTGCCCTGGTGCTCTCCTCCTGAGGAGGAAAAGGCACATCCAGGGCAGACCTGGTGGCTTTGTGGCAGTGAGGGATTGCTGTATTTATCCATGCTGAGCCTGTGTGGCGTTTGCAGCTGGCATCTCACCGTGTGTGCCTTTGTACCAGTGGATTTCTCCCATCTTTGATGATCTGCATCTGGTCTCATGAGCCTTGGCTGGGCACAAGGCCACTGCCTCCTCCTGCTCCCTGTTGAGTTTTTCCCAGGAGAGGCTGGGAGGGGAACAGGCCAGGGGAAACAGGTGTTTGATGGTTCTTGTCTGGTTCTTTTGTGATTGCTGGAATGGAAATTCCCAGCTTCCTCCAGGTGACTTGCTGGCAGGTTTGGGAGGAGCTCTGCCTTGGCCAGAAAACTGGGCTTCTCATGGAGAGAGGCTGCAGGGAACTGAAGGGTGGTGCAGGAAGGACTGTGGGGTGTCAAAACCCCCTCCATGCTGCTGCCCCTGAAGGTCACAGAAGAACAGAAAGTGGCCCACACTGCTTAGAAGGAAACACTTTCTTAGAAGGAAAAAAAAACCCAGCTGGGTTTAAAATCTGGTCAGATTTGTCCTCTGGTTCACCGTGTGGCCTTGTGGCCAAGCTGGGCTGGAGGGAAGGAGTCCCACGAAGCTGTGCCGTGCCTGGGCAGATGCCACAGCATGGGTAAACATCTAGTGAGGGCATTTAACCAGCCAGGCTGTCCCGGGCTGCACACAGAGCCTCCTCCCTGCCAGGGGCTGATGCAGGGTGGTCTCTGAGACAGCTGTGCCTTGAGAGCCGAGCTGGGTGCCCCCACGGGGCTGTTCCTAGGTGGGGACCAGGGGACACATGAGACGGTGCCTGGGGCCGTGCCCCTGCACGTTGGCTTCCCACGGGGGTGAGCCCTGGCCCTGCAGACCCTGTCGGCACAGCCCCTGGTCGCTGCACCATCGGCTTCTCGCCCTCCAGCCTGCCTGACTCCTACAATCCGGGGGCGGCTGGGAAGCGACAGCTGGAGCCAACGCACCAGCCCGGTGCTGCTGCCATGCCAACCCTGTTTCCATGGCAATGGGCACCCAATGGGCGACTGCCAGGCAAGGCCAACATGCCCGAAAAATGATGCGATGCCCCCTGAAATGGCCAGCTGGAGGCTGGGAGCCTGTGAACGCCGCCAGTCCCAGCAGAGCCTTGGGTGCCTGGGAGCGGATCAGAAGCACCCGGTGCACAGGTGGAGCTGGGCAGGTGGAGCCCTTGGTGCCCCCGGAGCAAAAAAAAAAAACACGGAGAAAAAAAATGGGGAGGTGCGCGCAGCCACGTCGACAGCCCCCTCCGGCTGTCTTACAGCCTAATTTAATTTAAATAGATGGCTCTTACATAACCCTCAGGGCACTGTGCTGCTGGAGCCAGCCCCACCCCATACTAGTGAGGGCCCCCCGGAGTGGGGGTGCCAGGAAGGCAGTGGGGCACAGGAACATAGGCTCCCCAGGGCTCTCTGTGCCCTGGGGCTGCTCTTCTCCAGCCCCCCCTTTATGTAAGTCCCTGAGCCCCATGTTTATCCAGCTCTACATTGAAGCCTAGGTGGGTATCAAAACATTTTAAAATAACTCTGCCTTTTGTTAGCACCACAGCTATCTTTAGAAGAGATTTGATTTTGTTTGAAAGCCCTCTCTGTGAGGGTTCGGTGGAATAGCTCCCCAGCCCAGCAGTTTAAAGGGCTATAGGTGATCTCCTTCCTTGGCTGGAAACACTGTATTGATTATTGCTTATTGATCTGATAAACTCCTTCTTACCCCTGCAGGCATCTCCTCAGCTTTTCTGGCATTTCCACAGGTGGGAGGGGCAGTGTTGTGCTCAGAGTGATGTCCAGGCACTCTGGGATGGCTCTTGAGGCATCCTGGGCCCCAGCTCCATCACCTCCATCACCTCCATGTGAACAGTTGCCCTGCTCATAACAGCTGGTGCTTTTCCCAAATGTTAAAATCAGGGTGAGGAGAACCAGTGCTGTGTTTTCAGGTTACAACCACAGGCCACCACCTCTGCAGCCATGACAGTGGCTTGTGGGACAGCTCACACCCAACACGTGCCAGTGTCCCTGCTCCAGCTGTGATGGGAAGTGGAGGGAACGAGGAACTCTGCCCTGGAGCAGAGGTGGCCAGGAAGGCACCTTGGGCCCACTGGGGGCCGACTCTGCACCCTTTGGGCAGCCAAACCATCGTGTGTCTCACCCAGTTGTCCTTTCAGCCTCCTGACTGTTGCTGCAGCAGACTGTGGAGATGGAACTATGGATCACCCACAGTGGGCAGGGTGGCTGGGGTCCCTCTGTCCTGTGGCTGCTTACTTGGACCTGCTGCCTTCCACAGAGCCAGCAGTGGAGGAGAGACTGGGCAGGAACCCACCCTTGAGATGCTGTAGGAGGACCAAGCAGAGGCTATGCCCTCCCTTGTGGTTTCTTGCATCCTGTTCTCAGGCTTCCTGCTCTCTCCAGGCTCTGATCTTCCTGACATTTAACCTGTCTCCCCTTTCTCCCCCCACCAGGAGACAGGAGCAGTTCCAGACCAACCCTGACAGCTACAATGGAGCTGTGCGAGAGAATTACACCTGGTCCCAAGATTACAGTGACCTGGAAATTAAAGTGCCTGTGCCCAAGCACATTGTCAAAGGCAAACAGGTAAAGTGATGTGAGTGGCATCTCTTTAGCATTTCCATTGGGGTGCACAGCTTTCCTGGGAGGCTGTGTTTTGTATTGAAGGACCAAGATGTGGTTGTGCCTTATTCCACAGTGTGAGTCTAGTGAGGACTGAGATCACAGCGTGTCCGTGTTCCTGTTGTGCTGCAGTGTCCTCTGCTGCATCTCAGCTAGGTTTCCTGCCACTGCCTCACCCTTTCTGTGCTTTTTCTTTCTGCTTCCACTACCTGCATGCTCACACGTGTGTTTCGGAGCCTGGCTGGGGATGGATGCCCTTCCTCAGTTGTTCCTCTGGCTCTGAGTGTCTTCTGCCTTCTGTTTGGAACAGGAGCTGCTGGAACGGCTCCTCTGGCACTGGGGAGCTGGATCAGGCACAGCCCCTGTGTGGCTTGACCTGCTCTAGATGGAAGGGAGCCGGCCTGGGGTGGAGGCTGCGGGCCAGCCCCTCCCCCTGGCTGCCTTCCTGCACAGAGAGGTCTGCCTCTCTCTTTGGCTCAGGCAGGAACTTCCCTTTTCTGCTTGTGGTCACATTGTTTTTCCTGCACCATTTCTGTTCCCTCCTGGTCAGGGACCCAGAAGGAGTGTGCCCATGGCTGGCCTTGGTTGGACTGAGAGCTCTTTCCCAAGTGCTGCCCTTCCCTCTGTACTTTTCCATTTGGGAAGCCTGTGCTCCCCCACCTCCTGCTCTCCTCTGCTTCCAGGATGGCTGAAAGGAGCACGCTGGAGTTTGTCACTGGCTTCAGCCTACACAGCTCCTCAGCATGCCAAGGAATGTCACTGGCAGCAGCAGCAGCAGCCCGGGCCAGAGGGGTGAGGGGGCACACGGCTGTCACAGGCACAGCAGGGCGCCAGGAAGATGCATCTCTCCCAGTGGGTCTCTAAAGCAAACCCAGACTGTTTCTTGAAAGGATTCTGGGGTGTCCAGATGGATATTCCATCCCTCCGCCTCAAACTTTGATCACGATTCCTCTCCCTGACTAGGGAAGTTTCCTCCATGCCAGGGAAGTTGTGTTCTTGCCAAAAACCCCGCACAGGGCTCTGTCTGCTCCATCCTTGGCCATGAGAGGTTCAGGAGCCTGCAGGAGCTCACAGCAGTGGAGACAGGATATGGTTTCCTGACCTTTCCTTGGTTCAAGAAGGTGCCATCACTGTGGAAGAGTCCCTGCCCCTCAGAGGGGGCAAAGGGGCTTCAAGACACCCCCTGCCCATGGCAGTGCCCATGGCATGGCTCTGCCTACCCTTGCCCAGTACTTGCCCACGCTGCCTCTTGAAGCAATTGGTTGTTCACATGCTGGACTTCCCTTCTCCTTGCACTCTTTTTCTTGGTGTTTTGTTCATCTGTCCATCTTGGGGCTCCTGTTGGCAGCTGAGTTTCCATTTCCAAATGATTCTGTGTATTCCCAGCCTTGGGGGAATGAGAACAGACAAGCTGGGTCTTGGGCCAGAGCAGAAGGACTCAGAGCAATTTAGAAGCTCCATGTACTTTGGACACGTTGTTCATGGGTACTTGCACAAGAGCAACATTCTCTTGCATTCAGACAACTTCATATTTTGAAAAAATTACCAGGTTTTTGGCTTCTGCCTGCCAAGGCAAGATTAAAAATTTCCCCATTTGGTCCCTGGGCTTAGAGTGCACCCAACTCTAATACTGCTCACAGTCTTCCTTATGACACTTTTTGGGTTTCAGGCTGTTGCTATGGCACATTTTGCTCTGGTAAGCTTAAGGTTTCCTTGTATGGAGCTCAGGTGTCCTTGGAGCAGGAATGGGTGATTGATTGGGTGAGAGCATCTTCCTCCATGCTCCCCCCCTCTCTGATGTGCTGTGGGCACAACAGAGGCCCGAGGATCTGAGCACTCAGATGGAGATGATGACTCCAGGCCTCTCTCTGCTGAACTCAAAAGGAGACAAGCTCGATTCCTCTCTGAGTTTGTATTTGCTTGTTTGAGCTGCGTGGGTGTGCAGAGTGCACAGAAATCACTGTGGTGAGAAGGCCACAGCACACAAACGAGAGCCAGCTTTCCCTGTGGGCAGCCAGGTGATCTGGGGAGCAGAGGTGCTCACAGGGAGCACAGGGGGAGGGACAAGAAGCTTCAGAGCTGCCAGAGCACTGTGGGTTGCTCTTGGCCTTCCCTGAGGTGTGGGCTGTCCATGGTCCTTGTGCACATGTGAGTCTCCTCAGACATGTCCCTCCATGCACAGAGGGGCAGGGCTCTCCAGCAGGGCATGTGCTGTCCCTGTCCCTACTCCTGGGAGGCTGGTGTGCTGGGTGGGACCTTCTTGCTAGGTGCAGGTAGAAGCAGGTGTTGCAATTGCTTCTCGTGTTGTCTACTTGCACAGCAAAGTGGCCAGGTGAAGTCTTTCCAGACTGTATCTCTTCTGTTTGGGTTTCTCTGCTCCCTCTCCCAATGCATTGCTGGTCCCAGAGCATACATAAAAGGTGTCCCTTGGCCCCACCAGATACCCTGTGCAGCCACCTGTGAATAAAACCCTCTCACATTTGGTTGTTCTTGTCCATGCAGAACCCACAGACACGATGCCTGGCACAGACCTGTGCTTTCCAGGTCTCCAGCTTAGGAGTCACCTTGCCTTTTTCCCCTTGGTGCTTTCTGGGCAGGCTCTGTACCGTGCTGAGAGCCCAGCTTCAGTAGCTCTGTCCCTGCTCCCCAGAACCTGAGCAGATGGTGGTGGTGGAGGGCAGAGCCTCATCCCCATGGCTCCTCTCTGCAGTGAGGTTCAGCACTGGGCTGGAGGGAGCTGCTCCATGGAGGGAGCACCTCCTCTGGAGGTGTCTTCATCCCAGGGCAGCTGCTCTTGCAGAGGCTGGCCACAGCCACATGCCAGCTGACAGCCTGCTGTCCTGTGCCATCCTCACGTCCCTTCCCCGATCCCCTGTGAGCAGGGTCCTGCTCCCAGCTCCCACTGGAGCTCAGTCCCACGTCAGGCTGTGCAGTGTGTGCTGGGCCTGCCCTGCTCCTGCCGGAGCACACAGCAGGCAGGGGGCTGTGCCCTGGTGACATCAGTCACACACAGCCGCCGTGCCCTGCCTGGCTGGAGCAGCTCTGCCTGCCTTCTGCCTGCGTGGAGCTAGTGAGCTGCTGGAAGTCTCCTAGGTAATGGATAATGTAATAACATTTCAAATGAGATCTGCAGAGCAGGAGGAAGATCTGGGGGAACTCTGGGAGAGAATGCAGGCAAATCTCACTGCAGTCTCCTCCTCTCGGGCCAGCGCTGGGGGCCACAAACCTGCCCCTTCCCAGCCAGGTCCTCCCTACATCCCCTGGCTTGGCACGGGCTCTGCTGGCGGCACCTCAGGGCTGGAGGGGACAAGAGAGAACATATGGTCTCTACAGAGACCAAGGGTACTGCGTGCCTCTCACAGCCTGCCTCTGTCTCCCCAGGGGACAGCCGTGTCACCTGCATGGCAGGTCGGAGCAGGGTTCCCCATATGGCTGCTGTGGGCGGGAGCTGGCCCCGTTCCTGGGGACGGAGCTGCCCCTGTAGCAGGGAGCCAGGAAAGCGTGCTGCAGCATTCCTCCTGCACACAGGAGGCCCCTCCTCACACACCCGATGGGAGGCCTGGGCTGAGCCCAGTGCTGGCTCCAGCAGCAGAAGCAGAGCCAAGGAGCGAATTTCAGCATGGTGCAGCAAACAGGGGATGACCTGCTGCAGCCCTAGGGTAGGAACCCATACTCTGTCAGCCCCTGCTCAGCTACCAGGATCACACACACTCGTGCCCAGCTTGTCACAGTGACAGCACACCCCTAAAGAGCTCTCTCACAGCGAGTAGATGTCCAGCCTTTGAATGCTGTTTGGAGGCCTGTAGCATTACTGGTCTTCTTTGAGGGGAAACTGAGGCATGGGGTAGAACCAGCTGCCTTGAACCTTCAGGGGTCCCCCCAGTTGCAGGGCTGTACTGCTTTTCCTTCCCTGAAGAGGTTCCCTCTCTCCTCCAAACTGTCGCTTTTTGCTATGAGAGAACAGCAGGATTCTCACCCTGCTGCTACAGGCAGGGCTGGAAGCTCTTCTCTCTCTCATCCCCTGCAAGTGCACTTGACCCCAGACCCCAGCTTGCAGAGTGAGAAGGGAAGCAGGAGCCTTTGGGGTTATTGTGTCTGTCTTTGTTTCCAGGTGTCTGTGGATATCAGCAGTGGTGCAATTCGTGTAGCAGTGCTGGATGGAAGCAGCCAACGCGTCCTCATGGAAGGGAAACTCACCCACAAGATCAACACGGAGAGTTCCCTGTGGAGCCTGGAGCCTGGCAAGTGTATTTTGGTAAGGGTGGTCCACACCAGCTGTGTCTCCTTGGCTCGCAGCTCTGCCATGCTTAACCTAGGAAACTGGAGCAGCTGGAAGTTTGAGGCAGCTCTAGATGTGTCTGCCTTTGCCTGTCCAACGTCTGGCTCATGCCGCCCTTGCCTTCTGCTTCTGACTTGCCTTTCAGGGTGTGGGCTGGGCAGCACGACTGTCAGGCTGGGCAAAGGGGTCCCCAGCTCCAGCTGAGGTGCCCTTGCCTCCTGCTCCTGACTTGCCTGTCAGCATGACTGTCAGGCTGGGCAAAGGGGTCCCCAGCTCCAGCTGAGGGGACAGCACAGCTGTCACTTGAGGGTTGTCCCTGTCCTCAGTCCCAGCACGGGGCCCTGCACTGCAGGGCTGGTCCTGCACACCTGCCCTTGCTGACTCTGCTTGCCAATTCTCCTGGCCCCACTCTGACCATCTTGGCAGGTGCCTGTTCCCCACCATTCCTTCCTGTCCTGTCATGGGATTCCTACTTGCCCTGTTTGAGGTGGACACTGTGGCTCCACTGCCACAGCAGGCCTGTGGTTTGCTGTGTGCCTGTTGTCCCAAATCATCCCTGTTGAGGAGGTCTCAGGGCAGCTGATGCCCAGCTGTGTATTATTGGTGGGTTCCCAGCCCCAAGCCTCATTTCTGAAGCGCTCCAGATGTTCAGGCTGAGGGTGTGAGTTCAGCTGTGTTCACAGCTGGAGCTGCTGCAGGAGTTCTGCTCTTCACCCTGGGATCTTGAGAGTCAAACAGTTTCCAAAGTTTATGTGCCACTTTGGGGGCCAGGATTGTGCTAGGAGCAGGATTTTGCTGCCTGTGACCATCTTTGCCCTATTCTTTTCCACCCAGAGACTTTTCCAGCAGAATTTCAGGAGTCCCAAAGCTGTTGTGAGACCCAGGAGGGGACGCATGCTGGCTCCTGGGAGGGAGTGAGCTGGCTCTAAGCCTTTCTCCCTATGGCACAAGAGTGGCAGCAGATGAGCACCCAAATCCAAGCCCTGACAGTGGAAATGGAGTGGAAATGTGCTGTCAGTCAGGAATCCTGTGCATGGGGAGGCTGCACAGTGCCACTCGACCCCTGCTGATCCGCAGGGATGTACCTTGACTAACAGGCTGGTGCCAAAGGGTTGAGTGAGGTCCCTGCAAGGGAGAGGAGCTTCTCCAATGCTGCTAGGCCATTGAAGGGATGTGATAGTGACATCCTTAACCTGCATTTTGTAAATATTCATAAAAATCTTGAAAATTAACTTATCTGGGACAAAGAAACAATCCGGGAAAGGCATAAACCCGTTGAAGAGGAGGTGGCCCAATGGGTGGCTGCTCCACGGTGTGGATGGAAGTCTGGAAGTCCCTGGTGGGTGTTCCCAGCATCAGCAAGGGAGGCAGTGTCTCTGCAGCACCCGTCAGAGGCTGGGAACGGCGCGGGTGGAGCGAGGCTGGGTACCTCCTGGAGTGGCCGCGGGCAGCGTGGGGAGCAGAGTGCTCCCTTCACCCCCAAGCCCAGAGCTGGGTCTTGCCTCGAATAGCACGAGCCCAGGCTTGTGAGGATCTCCAGCTGGCTGCCAGCATATTGATGGTGGGATGAGATCTCGCTTGAAGAATTGTAAGGTAACTGGAGCAGAGTGAGTAATCCTCGCCCAAGAGCATCTCCTTTTTCCGTGTGCTGAGTAGCCAGGAGTGGTTTGCGCCTCCTCCCGATTCATTCATCAGGGGACACCCACCCTGTGGCAATGCATTGCTTCATTCAGTGCCTGGATGGGGCCATTGGGGTTTATTTGGAGCTTATGGGGTGTATGGACCCTGTCTGTGCCCCAGTTTGTGCATTGCTCTCCGTGAGCTCCAAATGCAGCAGTTGGGCTGTCCCCCTCCTGCAAGATGCTGCAAGGTGCCACCTGCCCTCCCTGTGGGACCAGGGGTGGCATTCTCTGGCAGGGTGTGGATGTAGTAGCCAAAGCTGAACTCACCCATTACCAGTGCTGGCGTCCAAGGAGATCCTGCCTGCCTTGGGGACTTCTTGGGACACCTTGGTGGCCCTGTCCGTGCTGCATGTTCATGGTCTGTGAATTGAGGTGATCCCTGCAGCAGAACTTGGGTCTTGGTGCCAAGGAGGTGGAATCTCTCTTTCTTGGTCCTGTCTGTCTGAAAAGGTCTCAGTTCCATGCAGAGAGGCTGTTGAGTCCTGTGTCCTCTTGCAGCACATGTCAGGGACTTTCAAGATCCCCAGATTATTTAGGTGGCTGCAGTAACAGCTTTTTCACTGTCCTCAACCTCCCTGGCCTCCTCCCGGCTCCCTTCTGGGATGCCATCCATGGGCGTGCCACGAGCAGACTCCCTTCTCCTCCAGCTCTTATCCTGGGAAGATTTTTTTGCCTTACAACCCATCCTAGTTCTGCTTCCCCCATCCTGCCCGGTGTTCTTATTCATATATCATCTTCATTATGTCACTGGCACTCCAGCAGCCCCAGAACTCCCCTCACCAGCATTCAGAGACCACTCTGCCTTCCGCCTCCTGCTCCATGGAGCTCTCCCAGCTGGAGCCCAGCCTGACACCAACATGTTTCTCATCTCATCCTTTGGCACACCCGTGTGCACGGCGGCAGAATCCAGCTGGCATTGTTCCTCAGTGCTCTGGTGACGTGGGGTGGGGGCCTGTCCATTCCTCCTGCTCAGGATTTTGTCCCAGGATCGTGTCCCTGCCTGTGGCATGCTGCACGCTACCCTGGTCCTGGGTGTCATCCCTGTGCTCTCCCTTCTCTGTCACACCCGCTTGCTTGTTGAAAGTGAGATTAAAATAACCTCGCTGTTTTTAGCAATCCCCACTGGGTGTTGTGCACAACTCCTTTTGGTATTATTTTCGTTGTGGAGGATTTTTCTCCCATTCCTTCTCTTTTTCTCTTCCTCTCAGCCTTTGTTTTCCACGCTTGGGCTTTTGTCAGCAAGTCCTGCCTTGAACATTTATTGCAGTCTTGCTTGCCATCGTGTGAGCCATGAGGCTGAGGGGATGCAGTTCAGTGGTGCTCAGCCCTGCCCTTCCCCACTGCTGAGAATGGCATTGCTGCCTCCTCTGTCCCCCTAAACACCTCACAGTGACTTTGGAGGTGACTTTGGCTGCTGTGGTTCCAACAGGAAAGCCAGCAGGTAGAGGTTGTCCTCCCAAGACCTACTTACACCCCTTGGCAGCATCTCTCCAGGTTTGACAAGGTATTTGGCATCAAAGAGGAAACCTTGTGCTACTGTGAAGCCCAGCACTGACAATGAGGGGTGTGACCTTCCCAGTGGGGTGTGCAGATGGGACGTGACGCTGTGTCCATGCCAGTGATGCCTGTCACCTGCTGGAGGGTCTCTCCTGCCGAGTGTCCCATTGTTCCTGCAGCAATCCTCCTTGCACTCCATCATTACCCTGGTGTTTTTCCAGGGAACGGCCCATCCTGGAGTGGCTGAGAGCTCATATCTTGGGCACTGGCTGTGGCACGAGGACACTGCCTCAGATACAGCAGGGGGGTATGCCTCCTGCAAGCCTCCCTCTCCTCAGGCCACTGTTGCAGAGGCTGTTCCTGCCTCCTTGTGTACCCCAAAAGACCCAGCTGGGCTTTTACCCCATTGGGACCCACCAGGCAGAGCTGGGGAAGTTCACAGATTGCCAGCAGCACCACAGGGTCATCCCTCATGTTCCAAACCTGAGGAGCCTGAAGGGTGCTCCTGCTGCAAGGGTGGACAGTTGGGACTGCCACCCCTCCCTTTGCTTTCTGCCTTAGGGTGATGTTCTGGGGGCTCCTCCACTCCCCCACCTGCCCACCCAGGGTTGGGAAGCCCAGGAGCAAACCCTCGGTGGTGGCTCTCCCTCCCCTCCAAAGTGGAACTGTGCAATTAAAAAGAGAACAAGCATGCCTGTCTAGCTGGAAAAACTAACGCCTTCCCCAAGCTGGAATATTTTACCGGCTCTGCTCTCCCAGAAGGATTAAACCCCAGCCACCCCCTCCTGTATTAATTGGTTCCTTTTCTTCACACCACAGAGAAGCTTGGCTCCGTAACAGGAATGGCTGTCCGTGTTCTCCCCTCCGGAGCTATTGAGCTTCCTGGGAGGTTTGAGCAAATTGTATTGTCTGCCTTTATTGATGATTTTGCAGGGGCCGACGAATGCCATAAATCTGCCCTGCTGCTGGGATTAGTGCTAAAATAACATGGGAGGAAGCAGCCCACTCTTCCTGGAAAAGCTAAAAGCAAGTTGGAGTTCCCGTTGCAGGATGCCCCATGCTGGCCCAGCACAGCCCTGCTGCCCAGCCAGCTCTGTCCATGGCACTGCCATCAGGATGCCTGTGACTACAGCAGGAGGCTTTTCCCAGTGAGGATGTTGGCTGGAGCAGGGAGACATCCCTGTCCTTGTCCCTCCAGGACTGCTGCTGAGCTGTGGCACCACGGGAAGCAGGTGCTGGCAGTCAGCAGGGGTGGCACAGGGCAGCAGGTGATGTCCTTGCCTCCTTTGTCACCCACCCAGCCAGAGCCAGGGGAGGCCGAGGTTCCCTCTAGGTTAGGGAAAGGCAAGATGGCTGCACTGCCACAGCAGGAGCCCTGGCCCCACACTGCACTGGACACAGCCTCCTCATCCGACAGTCCTGGCCTCTGTCACTGCTGCTGTGTCAGCCGTGTGGCCCCAGGCCAGTGTCACCCCCAGGCAGGCACTGCTGGGGACACTGGTCCTGTCTTAGAGCCGTAGCGTGGGCTGAGATTTCCTCCTCAGGGCTTGAGCTGGGGCTGTGGGGGCCCACAGCAGGGTTGTGCAAAGCCTTTGGCTGCTGAGGGAGGGAGGCACAAGCATCCCTCCCCCTCTGCCAGCTGTGAGGCTTAGTATGAGCTTGACTTCCACTCGTGGGCAAGCGCCACGCTGCTGTCAGAGCTCTGCATCCCTGCCACGGAGCTGTGAGGTGGGCAGGGGTACCACCTCCTGGGCAGGACAGGGGCTCCTCTCCCCCTTCGCTGACCCACACCTTGTCCCCAGATCAGCCTGAACAAGGGGGATGAGTACTGGTGGAATGCCATCCTGGAGGGTGAGGAGCAGATCGACATTGACAAGATCAACAAGGAGCGCTCCATGGCCACGGTGGACGAGGAGGAGCATGCCGTGCTGGATCGCCTCACCTTTGACTACCACCAGAAGCTGCAGGGCAAGCCCCAGAGCCATGAGCTGGTAGGTGCTGGCTACCTTGTGCCACCAGCCCAGCCTGGCCCACCCACCTGCCTTTCAAGAGTCCCATCCCCAGGAGAAGGAGCCCCATGGCTCTGCTCCATCTCAGAGCTCCTCCTCACGTGTCCCCCCACACTAACATTTGGGGGGTGAGGTTCTGCTGGTCAGTCTTTTGCCATGCACTCCTGTCTTCCCCTTCCTGGCACCCTGGCAGGTGCCTGTAAGCCCAGACCCCCTGTACCAGGGATGGGCCCCACATCCCTGCCCTTCTCCCAAGCTGGCCCTGCTCAGGGCTGGACCCACATGGCGCTGCCTGGTGCTGCCCTGGGTGCTGTCTGCCCTTTCCCAGGCACAGAAGTGCTGTGTGCCCTTAGCAATGACCACTGCCAGCCAGGGAGGAAGGGGGACTGCTGCCCACACCCCTTCCCATGGGTCAGGTGGCCATGCAGCCCCAAGGCCCGTGGGATGAGCTGCAGGGCAGAGCAGGGGTGTGGGGAGCAGCGTGGCCTCACCCCGGGCTGACAGAAGCTGCGGCCTCTTTGCAGAAGGTGCATGAGATGTTAAAGAAGGGCTGGGACACCGAGGGCTCGCCATTCCGCGGCCAGAAATTCGACCCCTCCATGTTCAACATCTCCCCCGGCGCCGTCCAGTTTTGACAGTGGCAAAAACAACTGAAAAATAAAGCAGGGAGAGGCGACCTCCCGGCCCCTGGATGCCCACCAGGATCCTCACAGCCAGCGCCAGTGCCCGGGACTCAGTGATCCACGCTGCCGGCACCCATCCGTGCTGTGTGGGGAAGCCTGAGGAAGTGGGCAGATTTACATCCTGTCACCACGGCAACCCGGGCACCAGGACCCCTCTCCTCCCCTCCTCTCCCCTCCCCTCACCTCGAGCTGCCGGTGCTCCGTGTTTTTCTGGAATAGAGGGAGCGTGTTGGGTCGCGTTGGGTGACATAATTACTGTTTTTGGTGGAGGAGGATACTGCTTCTGGGGTTTCTGGGGATGTGGAGCTCTCCCTGCCCTAGCACTGGGCAGCTTTGCCCCTCACAGGTGGAGATGGGTGCTGGGGATGGGCAGTGGGGATGGGGAAGCCTGCCCCTGCCTGCCTCTGCCAGCACCCTGCCCACCTGGCACCCCCAAATCCTCTCACCAGCCCCACTCCAGGGTATCCCCAGGGGGCTGTGCTGCCCCTGCCCTCTGCCCAGCCCTTGGAGGGGGGGTTTCCTGGCTTCCCCCTCCTTCACCTCCTCACTGGGGGGTTGTGAGGACACCTGGGAGCGGGCAGAGACCACAGCCATCCCCTGGGGTTTGCACCCCCTGTGTCAGGGAGCAGCAGGGGTGCTCCCCATAGCCCTGGCATTTGGGGGGGCTGCAGGCCCACCCCTCATGGCCAGCAGCTGGGCATGAGCCCCTGAAACATACGGGTTTCCCTGGCATGGTACTTAGGGGTCTGAGAGTGGGGACTGCCTGGGAGGGGAGGCCCCAGCAAGCCCAGCCTGGCTCTCACAGCTTCCCACCAGCCCCCCACCCTGGGGTGTGCGGGCTGGGGGTCCCCGGCCATCGCCTTGTCCGGTTGCCCACCCCCCACCCCTGTCTGCAATAAACACATGTCACCGTGGGGCTTGTGAGTGATTCGGTGCCACCCAGGGGATTGAGTGTGCCCCATTCTCCATCGTCACCTTGCTTAGGGGACAAGGACAGGGACACCGTGCCTGGGGTGTCTGTCTGTCTGTGTCTGCCAGCACGGGCTCCAACACCGGGGTGGGTGTTGTGGTGCATATGGGGAGAGTAGAATTTGGGGGTCCTTCAGGGTGTGGATGTAGGATTCCTGGGGGTGGAGGGCGTGAGTTTTGAGATCCCTGGGAGGGGCTAGGTATAGGATACCCCGGGGAGGGCCGGGTTTATGGGTTCCTTGGGTGTGGGGATGCTGGAATGTGGAATCCCAGGGTGGGGGGCTAGATTTTGGAGTCCTTGGGGTGTGGTATGAGATCCCTGGGGAGAGGTACTGCATTTCTGTGTCCTTGGGGCAGGGGGCTGCGCACGGGATCCCCAAAGCTGGCTGGCTTTCGTAGGGTGGGTGCTCCGGGGATACCACCCCCGAGGTGTCGCCCACCCCTCTCCCCCTGCACCGGTGCCGGCATCTCCCGGTGCCGATGCGCACACCGGGCCCCCCCCCCGGCCCCCCGGCCGCCCACGGGGACACCCCGCTGTCCCCAGGCCCCGGGGCTGCTGCTGCCCTCCGGGGTGGCCTTCTGTGTGTCCCCCGTAGCAAAATCCACCCCCGCGTGATGCTGCTGACACTGGGGGGGCTTCAAGGTGCCCTTGGGGGAAGCAGGGGGGTGATTTTGTCCCTCCCCGACCTCTCCCGGGTGTTTTGCCTGGGGAGGGGTTGGAGCCTGGAAGGGTTGTTTGGGGTGACATTGGTGCGGGAGGAGGGAGCTCGGTGTTGGGGGGAATAGGGGGGATTCCCCGAGGGGGGAGAAGGCAGGGCATGGATGGGGGTCTCTGTGCAGGTTATCTGGATATTGGGGCTTTTTTAGGGGACAGTATGGGATCCGGAGGGGGTGCGGGTTTGGGGTCCTTTGGGGGGGGGGGTTGGGGGGGGGGGGGATTGTGAGATTCTTGAGAGGGGTCTGGATCTGAGTCCTGTTGCGGGGAGTGTGGATGTGAGTCTGGGTTTGGGGTCCTTGGGGGGATCCATCGGAGGGAGTCTGGACACAGGGCTGTTTGTGGGGGGACTCCCGGGAAGGAGCGTCTGGATATGGGGCCTTTAGGGGTGGGGGCTTGGTTTCCCACTGCCGGGGGTAATTTGGGATAAAGGGGGTCCCGGGGTGGGTGGGTGGCTCTGCTTATGGGGCCCTTGTGGAGACAGGGGGGATCCCCCGGCGTGCGGGGGCAGGTCCGAGGTGGGGGTGCCCCGCGGAGGGGGCTGGGGGGGGGGGGGGGGACCCGGGGGGGGGGGGGCGGCGGGGGCAGTCCCGGGCTGGAGCCTCCCCCGGCCCGGCGCCTCCCCCCGCCCCCCCGCGCCGGGCGGAGCCGGAGCCGAGCGGAGCCGGTGCCGGGGCGGCTCATTGCGGCGCGGCGCGGCGGCAGCATGGCCACCACCGTGCCCTGCACCCGTTTCACCGACGAGTACCAGCTCTACGAGGAGATCGGCAAGTAAGGGCGGCGGCACCGGTCCCGGCTCCGGCTCCGGCTCCGGCTCCGGCTGCGGCGTCGCCGCCCGTGGCTCCCTGGACCCCCACCTTTAGGCTGCCCTGATCTGTCCTCATCGCCCAGCCCTGGTCACCCCAGACCCCTCCTCCATCCCTCCCGATCCCCTGCAGTCCCCAGTCACCCGTCCCTGGAGACCCCCACTCACTCAGTCCTTACAGCTGCCCTTGACCCTATGGACACTCCATCCTTGCAGACCCCCCAGTTCCTCCCCAACCCCTCCCCACCATTTTCACAGATTCCCCCAGCACACCTAATCCTGCCCCTGCCTCCTACAGACCCCCCCAGTCCTTAAAGCCCCCTTGCCCCCAGTCTTACAGACCCCTTCATCCCCACAGACCCCAGCCCCCCAAGTTCCCTGGTCCTTATAGATCTGAGTATTTATAGGCACCTGCTCCTTTTAGATCTCCTCCCTTTTCAGAACCCCCTTTGCCCCTCACCCTGATGGATTTCCCCATCCCTCAGCCCCCCCATTTCCATAGAACCTCCCCCATCTCCACAGAACCCCCCCATTCCCCCCCATCCCTCTCCCCTCTGGTCCTTTCAGACCATACTCCCCCCATCCCCTATTAGACCCTTTTGGGCCTTATATAACTCCCCAAATCCACTCCCCCTTCGGGTCCTTACAGCCTCCAGCCCTCCTGGGCCCCCCGGGCCCTAAAGCCTCCCAGGGCCCCTCTGCTGCCCTGAATCCTTCCAAGCCCCCCAGCTGTGCCCCCCCATCGTGACCCCTCGGGTGGGTGTTGTGGGGAGCTGAAGAGGGGCTGTTTCTGGGGGGTTCATTTGCCCCCCCAAGGCCATGGGGGTTGCAGTTTCCCCCCCCCCATCCACGGGCAGGGATTGGCTGGGAGTAAAATGAGGGGAGCAGGAGGGGGTCAGACCTTGTGTGGGGGGCTGCACCACCCCCTCCCTAGATCGGGGAGCGCTTTGCAGGGGTGGCTGTGTCCCTTTGGGGGTACCAGCAGGGGGAACATGGTGCCAATCGGGGGCTGTTCTCTCGGTCTGCCCAAAATCCAGCCCATCCTGGTTGCCATGGCAACGTGGTCCTGTTTCCCCCTTCCCATCTCCCGGTGTAGCCTGCCAGCCATCGCGCATGTGTCCCCCCCTCACCGGGGTGGGGGGGGGGATCCCTCTCGCCGGGGGGAAACTGAGGCACGGCTCGGGCCACGACGGTGTGCCCCCCCTCAGGGACTGGCACCCACCATGTCCCCTGTGCTGGGGGCCACGTGGGGAAGGAAGGGGTCAGGGCCCTGGGAACCCCCCACTGTTCCCCTGGTGGTGAGGGTCCCCCCTGTTTGGGCCAGCATGGGGCCCTCGCTGCCTGAGGACACGGGGACACGAGGCGGTGGCAGGAGAGGCCCTGAACCCTTCCCAGGGCACACGTCCCACGCAGCTCCCTCTCCATGGCAGGCCTGGGGTGGTGCTGGTCTCAGCCGTGTCCCCAGCCTGTTGTGGGGATCGCCTCTGTGTGCCCAGCAAGGGAGGGGCCTGTCGGGCAGGGGACAGGCAGGGACAAGGGTCCTGGAAGGGGGACAGCAGCACTTGAAGGGGGTGACGGTGCTTCTGCCCGGCACGGGCACGACCCTGCTTTTCTCATCTCTGTCCCTGTCCCTGGGGTGGGGACAGCTGGTGGCTGCCAGCTCCCCACACTCGGAGATGGGTCCTGTGCCCAGCTACCACCACCACTGCCACCACTGTCACCGCCACTACCACCATCACCATCACCGCCACCACGGCCACTGCTGCCATCCGGGCCACCCACTGTTCCCATGGCAACGAGCTGCCGGTGCTGGATCCTTCCTGCGACCCCCCCTCTCCCGCGGTGCTGCGTGGCACCGAGCCCCCCCTCCGCCCTCCTTCCCCCCGCCACCCCCTGGCAGGGCCCGCTGTGTCAGGGCCTCCCTCCCACCCGTGTCGGGGTTCACCCCCCGCTGCTGAGTCACTGTGGGTGCAGCCCCCTGCCCTCGGGTGCTGAGTCACGGGTGGGAGGCACCCCCACGCACCCCGGGGTGCTCTGGGGCGTGCTGAGCCTGTCCCTCCCCAGGGGAGCTTTCTCGGTCGTCCGGCGCTGCGTCAAGCTCTGCACTGGCCATGAGTACGCTGCTAAGATCATCAACACCAAAAAGCTCTCAGCCAGAGGTAGGACCCCCCCAGGAGCCCTGGCACCCCCCAGCAGCACCCCCCTGGCACCCCCGGGGGCCACTCCCGGACGTGCCTGGGATAACCCCTGGCACGTGTGATGCCTCTGACAACCCTGGTGCCTCTGGCACCTCTGATACCCCTGGTGCCCCTGGCACCTGTGACACCTCTGACACCCCTGGTGCCTCTGGCACCTCTGATACCCCTGGTGCCCATGGCACCTCTTACACCTGTGATACCCCTGGTGCCACTGGCACCTCTGATACCCCTGGTGCCCATGGCACCTCTTACACCTGTGATACCCCTGGTGCCCCTGGCACCTCTGATACCCCTGGTGCCCATGGCACCTCTGACACCTCTGATATGCACGTGTGACAGCTGTGACCCCAGTGGTGACACCGGGTGCCGGTGGGAGGGAGGGGTGAATGCTCCAGGGGTGGGGTCTGGCCCTGTCCATCCCCGTTATCCCCCTGCTGCCTCCCCCGGGGCCCCTCAGAACGTCATCTGTCCCTGAGGGGTGTCCTGCAGGTGCGCAGGTGTGAGCAGATGGGTGGGAGGGTGTGCAGGCACAGGTGTGAGCCCTGTGTGTGTGCAGGTGTGAGCTGTGTGCGTGGGGGTGTGTGTGGTGGTGGGGGTGCACACATGTGAGCAGTGGGGGGTACCTGAGTGTGTGTGCACAGGTGTGTGTGCTTGGTGTGCAGCCAGGTGTGAGCAGAGCGTGTGTGCACGTGCCAGCAGCGAGTGTGTGCTTGCACACGAGGGTGGGCACTGCTGTGTGTGCACGTCTGTGAGCAGAGTGGGTGCCCCTGGGGTGGGGTGTGCTCACAGCTCAGCAGTGGGGGTGCACAGGTGTTTGCAGGTGTGGGATGTGTGACAGTGTGCGGGGGTGTGCGTGTTTGGGACGTGCACCTGGATGAGAGGCAGCACAGAGTGGCACAGTGTGTTCTGTGTGTGCACACGTGTGTGTGTGAGCTGTGTGCACAGGTGTGAGCTGTGAGTGGGGCAGTGCACACACGTGTGTGTGAGCTGTGTGTGAGCTGTGTGCACAGGTGTGAGCTGTGAGTGGGGCAGTGCACATGTGTGTGTGTGTGTGAGCTGTGAGTGAGTGGAGCAGTGTACACACGTGTGTGTGAGCTGTGTGTGAGCTGTGTGCACAGGTGTGAGCTGTGAGTGGGGCAGTGCACACGTGTGTGTGGGTGAGCTGTGTGTGAGCTGTGTGCACAGGTGTGAGCAGTGAGTGGAGCAGTGTACACACGTGTGTGTGAG